GTCGGCTTTGATACTTTTTAACAGTTCCCAATCCTTCCTTTTAGCATCATACTTTTGAATTGGCGGATAAGGATAAGACGATAGGTTTGGCTTTAAGGAAGGTATTCTCTCAAACACAACAGCCTAACATTAGTTAAGTAAAATATGATTAGCAAAAAATAAACCACATGAAAAATATAAGATATTAACAAAAAAATGGAAATTAACAATTACCTCGAAAACTGGCGCACACGCTTTAAAATTATGTTGTTTTCCCACCGTTGCAGTTTTTAGCTTATTAAAAGATTCATGTAAGTCTTCATAGATTGCTTTAGCCCAGTTCACTTTTTCATATACATCAAGATCTTCTACTTTTTCATATACATCAAGATCTTCTACCATTGACCAAGAACCTGTACGTGGTTTCTTGGGATCCGGGGAGGGTATTAAAAACATCTCGATCAATAGGGTGGAGAGGGGTTACACGTAACACCCGATGGCGGGGGAATGGTTGTCGGTGCACGAGGCATGACAATGAGAAACTCATAGCAACTTCTAGGAAAAAATTGAATTCACATTGGAATGAGGGATCTAAAGGTTGTGCAGGTCTGAGACTACAAAATTTATCATGATAAGTCACATGATATGAATGTTGTTATCGATAAGTCACTTCCTGGAAAAATTGCTTTCAAATGTCAATTGAGTTAAATGGAATATAAGCCGTTGGTCCAAAGTTCAACTCTTTGAGACGACATTTATTTGTATTTTCTTTCAAAATGTAAACATGTTATTGATATTTATAAATCAACAACATTTTTAAAATTTTACCGGTTTAAAATTGAATTGATCCACATGTAATGAAGATTTAAATTAAAATACATAAGAGTTCTACTAAAAAAAATATAAAAAATTTTGATTATGATACGATATCAAACTTTTTATATTTTAATCAATTACGATCCAGAATTTCATTATGACAGATTTTTATTTTTAAAAAATATATATGACATAGTAAAATAATATTTTTTGAATAATAATAGTATACAAATATTTTATATGCATTTTTTTAAAAATCTATAAAATATTATTTATTAAAGAACAAGAGAGGACGAAGGAAAAATGGACAAGGTTTTTCTGGAAATATCTTGGAATAACTTCTATTATTTCTAACAACAAAAAAAATCCCCAATTTTCTATTTCAAAAATATTCAATAATTTTAAAATAGAAATTTATATATATATTTCTATAAACCCACCGGTTGCTCTTCTCTCTCTCTAAACCCACCGGTTGCTCTTCTCTCTCTCTAAACCCACCGGTTGCTCTTCTCTCTCTCTAAACCCACCGGTTGCTCTTCTCTTTGGAAACCCACCGCTGCTCTCCTCTCTGCTGCTCTTCATATCGTAATCTCTCTCATTACTTTCACATATTTAGTTGTCGATTTGATTTGTTACTTTGACGTAGGAATGTAGTTGGAATTGGATTTTCAATTGGTATATGTTTTTGGTGTGTGTATTGATTCTGAGTTTGTTAGAGTGATCAATTAAATTATACTTCGATGTGATTAATGGATTTGAGTTTGTTAGAGTGATCAATTAAATTAGGGTTTATGTGATTCTGATTAATTTGTATTTGTATGAATGTGCTTAAAATTTAGTTTTTTTTAATTGGTTTTTTAATTGGGTTTTGACTTTGTGTGTGTGTTTCTGTAGTGGTGATAATTTGGTGCAAGAGGCTCCTCTTCAATGGCAATGTCAACAAAGGTATGATATTACAAATTACAATGTAAAAAGCTATGATGTTAATAGCGGCGCTATAGCGTGGCGTCAGACCACCTCTCCGCTATGCTATAAAGCCGCTTTCCGCTATTTAGAGAAGTGGAAATAGCGGCCGCTATTTGCAGGATAATAGCGGCGACGTAGCGGATCGGTAGCGCTATTTGGCTGCTTTTGCGTTTTGGATGGAAAAAATTGATAAAAACCCTTATTTTGAAAATAAGTCATAAAGTGAGCGGCCGCTATTTGCAGGATAAAAACCCGCTGTGTGTTTAGTATTTATGTATGTTGTTGGAATTTATTAGGGTAAATTTCAATTGAATCCTTTTAAGAGTAATATTGTTTGAAGTGTTTAATTTTGTACTTATTTTCTAGGATACTGAAGAAATTAGGCAATCTGTAAAACTTGGTGCTGGCTTAGCGACTCTTTGCAAACTTAAATTGAGCCCTGAAAAGAAAAACCTCATGGTGAACTCTGTATTTTATGATGTTATAAACATACAAAATAACAAAGAGAGTTCATCAATTTTTATTAAACTGTTTGGTGATTTTTACGATCCAACAAATAGAAGGTTTGTGTTAAACAATAACACATCTTTTTCTTTCTGTGCCAAAGAGGTGGCAGATGTGTTGGGTATTGAAAATACCGGGCCTGATTTCAACGCCCCTGCTGCAAAAAAAGTTCCTCAGTTTGTTAAGGACCTAGTGATAGGATATGGTGTAGATAGTTCTGGGAAAATCTCTACAACAACAATTAAAGAACTTTTGAAAAAAATGAATGTAGACGACGAGGAAAGTAGATTAAATTTTAAGAAAGTCTTATGTTATTTTTTGATCGAGATGTTTTTAATACCCTCCCCGGATCCCAAGAAACCATGTACAGGTTCTTGGTCAATGGTAGAAGATCTTGATGTATATGAAAAAGTGAACTGGGCTAAAGCAATCTATGAAGACTTACATGAATCTTTTAATAAGCTAAAAACTGCAACGGTGGGAAAACAACATAATTTTAAAGCGTGTGCGCCAGTTTTCGAGGTAATTGTTAATTTCCATTTTTTTGTTAATATCTTATATTTTTCATGTGGTTTATTTTTTGCTAATCATATTTTACTTAACTAATGTTAGGCTGTTGTGTTTGAGAGAATACCTTCCTTAAAGCCAAACCTATCGTCTTATCCTTATCCGCCAATTCAAAAGTATGATGCTAAAAGGAAGGATTGGGAACTGTTAAAAAGTATCAAAGCCGACGAGGTATTTTTTTGCACTATTTGTTATGCTTCTTAGTAGTATATAGAGTGAGGTGAGGGAGTGTGAGATTGTTATGGAAGTTTATAGTTTGTTTTGGACAGTTGCCTTTTTGCCTCTGTAGGGCATTAGGATATTCATCCTCTTGCATTTATTTACCTTTCGGTTTCAGAAATAGTACACTATTTCCATATTTGTGCCACTTTTAGAACAATTTAAGTGTAGCCGCACAATGATTGGGAGTGAGGTGAGGGAGTGTGAGATTGTTATGGAAGTTTATAGTTTGTTTTGGACAGTTGGCTTTTTGCCTCTGTAGGGCATTAGGATATTCATCCTCTTGCATTTATTTACCTTTCAGTTTCAGAAATAATACATTATTTCCATATTTGTGCATTTTAGTCCATTTCTTCTATATTCTGTAACTTGTGGTTTTTCGGGTTCCTAACATATACGCCCACTGGTTCTGGTTAAGAATTGACATTCTATTTATCAATTTTTTTCCTTTCATTTTTCAGATAACCCCATGTTCATACTGTGGTGATGGAGTAGAGGGTGATGCTAGCCCTAGCCCTAGCTCTTTGATTCCTGCTAATGTGGTGGAGGACTTTTTGGCTTCCGGGGCGGAGGACGACTCGGCTTCCTCTTTGAATGTGGTGGAGGACTTTTTGGCTTCCGGGGCGGAGGACGACTCGGCTTCCTCTTTGAATGTGGCGAAGGACAGTTTGGCTTCCGGGGCGGAGGACGACTCGGCTCTTTGAATGTGGCGAAGGACAGTTTGGCTTCCGGGGCGGAGGACGACTCGGCTTCCTCTTTGAATGTGGCGAAGGAAAGTTTGGCTTCCTCTTTGGTGGATGATGTATGCTCTCTCTGCTTGAATGATGCGTCTGCTTAGCCTTCTTCATCGCCTCCACCTCCTCCATCTATGAAAGCTTTAAGAAGGTCGACAAGGCCACGGAAACAAAATTTGAAGTATAGCCCAAGCGAATACAAGTAAAAATGAAAAAAAAATTAGCACTCTTTCAACTTATTTTAAATATGTTCAGTACAATTTTGGGTTGGGTTTTTTTCCCAGCCCTAACTTACTGGTTTAAGATGTGGAATTCTGTTAGTTTTATCTTTCTTTGTTCTATCCTTATTTATGTGCAATCTTGGTTACTTTACTTGCTAACTCATGTTTTTACTCTTATGCTTGTTCATTGTGATTTCTCTAAAAAAATCCATTGAAAAACGAATTGAGGACTTGGGGAAACTAGCATGTTGCAGTCCACCCAAGTATTATGTATTTTGTTCGATGTGTACGAACGTTACCACTTACAAGTTAACAAGGAAAATATATTTGTTTTGAAATGTTTGATTTGAAAAAGATTGATTTTGATTAAAAATGGTTTTGTTGTATGTGATGGACTGCAACATAATAGTGTGGCTTCCCGTACAAAACTATCCAAATATGGTTCAAATCATGTCTCTGATCCTACCTTCTTCAGATCCATTGTGGGTGGACTGCAACATGCTAGTGTCACTAGACCTCAAATCTCTTACTAGTGAACAAAGTGTGTCAATTCCTTTCCTCACCCCTTGAAGACCATTGGAAGGCAATCAAAAGAGTAGATTTATTTGAGTTTAACTACTTTGGGTTGATACAAATTACTTAAATTAATTTTTTTTAGGGGAACGACATCATGAAAGAGTACAAGATGTATAATCAAACTATCATAGATAGTTTAGATGGGAATTAAAAATATAGACTAGTATAAAAATGATTTGTAGACATATTTACTTAGTTTTTATTTTCTGCACTTCAAGTTGAAAGTGAGGGCTAGTAGCACGAAATTGGATTCAGGTACTGCATGTGCGCAATCCCATTCAAAATAATGTGATATGCGAATGGGCATGGGAAACATGTGCAGATGAAATTTGAAAGAAAATATCGTGGATGTGTTTTAGTTGTACCTAATTAGAACCAGGTAAAGGACAACAAACTTAATCTCCTTCAGGAAAGAGTTTTACATAGCATAAAAACAATAGAAGTCATGAATAAGTGAAAGGTGAAAGAAGCCAACGTACTGGACGATTTCTGATTGGCACGGTAGATCATCAATCCGACGTCTTAATGCCACTACATCCCTTAATCTAGCAGCAAGTTCCTAACAGAAGGAGAAAAATAGGAAGCTTGTAGTAATTGAACAATGGAATAAGCAAGGATCAAAACTATTCAAAGGAGGTTCATGGTTCTAAATCCAAAATTTCCAATTGTTACTACAATAGTGCAGTTTGAAAGAATCATGCAGTCGTATTTATCTGCATTTTAGGTAACTGAACCACAATTGACAATTTAAAACTGTCATGTATCCAAAAATGAGAATAGAAAATAATGGAAAGTAAGTCCATTTATTAAAACTATCTTACCTTTTTCATCAAATCGACTCTTTCAAGTGATTCACTAAAAGAATGATGAAGCTCATCAGTAAGGCACTTGCTATCATAGTCACTTGCTATTTTCCTCTCTAATTCACTAATCTCGGCCTGAAGTTCAGAATGCTTAGCATCGCGGTTGAACAGAAAGCTGTTTTCCTTCCTTTCAAGATCCTAAACTAAAAGTGAATAGAATAAGCAACACATAACATTCAGTTTTAGTGCAAACATCAACTAAAAAAATTAGTTAAATCACCTGCATTTTTCAGTTGGCTCGAAAAATTGAATTTTAAAATTACTGAAAACTATAATACTAATAATAATAATAATAATAATAATTCACCTTCATAGACATGATTAATGGATACAACTTCTGAACTGCGGAATCAGCACCTTCCTTATTGATTCTCGCTCTTAACTCATCTAACTGCTCCACAACATTCGTCTTCCGGTGATTCTGTAGAACAGCCAAATAAGAAAAAATCAAAACACCAAACTCAAGTAAACAATGTAGAAATCATAATTGCAAAACATTTCATGCATCTCACAAACCATTTCATCCAACTTGTTTATCAAAGTAGTTTTAAGCTCATCATCTTCGTCAATAGTTTCTTCATCTCGACATACCTACGGTTCCACGACATAACCAAAAATCAGTACTGCACAAAACATATAAGGCAATCCATTCATTTTATGAAACTACTCACAGAAATGGAAATCAAAACTGAAAATGCGAGAGTTCAATTCAACACCTGACTGACACATTGTTCTTGTGTTGATTTTAGACGTGAAGTAATCCATTGAATAACGGGGAAAAGAGCATCAGAATCAAATTTTGTAATATGAGTTTGTTGAAGAGGGTGTGGACATTCTATTGATTTTAGATATTCTTCTATGTACTGTGTGTTGTTTTCATCGTGTCTGCAAGATGAATAAAGGAAATGAGAGGTGAAGAATGGAAACCCTAATTGATTGATTGATCGAGAGGAAAGAGATAACATACATTGTGTTGGAGGTGGAGTTGAGGGCGGCGATGGTCCAAGAGAGGCCAGCGGCGATTTTATGCGACGGCGGTGCATCGGAACATGTGGCGTCGACGTAACCGACTGTGGAAAGTAGATCCAAAATTTTGTCGACGCTTGCGATTTTGTCTAGTGAGTCCATGCTCTTCCTTTGGCGTTCTAACCTCAATTTCTTCTTCAAAGCTAAATTACAGTGCATCCGGGTGTACATATGATAAATTTTAGTAGACTAGTTGTAACGGGGTGTTAATAAATTTTTCAATATTTAACTTTCTGGAATGGATTATTGAATAAGGTGTTGAATGTGATATAGAGTAATTTGTGTTGAAAAAATTCAACATCTTAAATGAGAAATGAGTGAGGATCACTTATAATATTTTGTAAAATATAATTGTTTGTTGTGATTGTTTATATTTTTATCTCACCTAAATCAATATTTTATTTATTTTTATTTTCACCAAAATTCATCATTTTTTTTTCTATAAATAGAGATTTGGTTCATTTGATTTGGACAAATAAAAAATAATAATTTTTATCTCTAATTTTTCTATTTAGCCTCCAATAAATTATTATTTATAGCTCTAAACAATTTTAATTTAATTTCAATTGATAATTATTATTAATATATAATCAAAAAAATAAAAACATAAAAAATAAAATAAAAATGTGAAATAAAAGTGGTGGGGTAAAGTGTTGAATTTTATTAAACAAAACAATTGTAATAGTAAAAGTTGAATGGATGTTGAATTATTAGGTGGAAAAGAGAGAAAATGATGTCGAGTGTAAAAAATGAAAAAATTAGATATTGAATAATTTTGTCATTGTAGATAGTCTTATAATTAGAAATTTCACATGAATTACAACACATGGACACATTTTCTCAGATTCATCGTCCATAAGGGGATTCTTTATCCACCCTTATGTATTCTCAAGGTCTCTCACGAAATATATATATATATATATATATATATATATATATATATATATATATATATATATATATATATATATATATATATATATATATATATATATATATATATATATATATATATATATATATATATATATATATATATATATATATATATATATATATAAAAGAATAAATCAAATATTTTATTTTAAGAGAATTTTTCAGATATGTATATTCGAAATAATTCAATATTTCATTATCAGTGGACTTTTGAATAGAGAAAAGAAGTGATACATTGATCGTGTAAAAACTGTCAATCAATCACAACTATGTATCCATACCTCACTTTTATTTTAAAAAAACTTTAATAACATGGAAGTTTGTTGATTTTCTAATGGTTGATTGTTTAAAAAAAATTACAATGACAGTGTATGAATATTATTCTCTTTCGAATATGCATATAAGAATAAACTATTTAATTAAAATACAGAGGGTTTTCGGATATACATGTCTGAATTGTCTTAATATACACAAAATGACAAAACAAAATATGTTTTTCCTATTTCCATATATATTTCAACTCTCCTTTTTTTTTTTGCAATCTTTGAGCAACACTTTCAACTCATTTCAAGAACAATCTACATCTTTAAGATGCAAAGCACGTTTTCAACTCATTTCAACAATATTTCAAAGCTTCAAATTTGAGTAAGTTTCTATGAATCTATTGTTCTAGTTTACAAATGTAAAATGTGTTGTTTAGAAACTTGTAAATTGAATGGTTGAAGTATAACTTGTGAAATGTAGTTGTTTGGGTGTAAAATTAAGTTTTTGGATGATTTAGGATAAGAAGTTTCAACTGGTCTGTAAATGGTTGTCGCAAGTTGTTTCGGATATGTCGCGTGTTGTTTCGGATATGCATATCTGAAAACTCCTATGACTGGTTTCGGATATGCACATCTGAAATTAAGCTTAGGTTGGTTTTTTTTTTAAGTTTTTCAACATTGTTCAAACTTGTTCCTTAATTGAGTAATAATAATTTTTTCCAGGATAATGGTTGAGAACCCAAACACTAGATTGAAACTTGATAGACCAAGGCAGACTGCCTTCGTTCGGCATGAGAGCTAAGCAGGCTACTAGGAATCGAGTTTGGGATCGGATACCGCAGGAGGATCCACTTCAGCTCCAAAGAGTCGCTTGTCTCATGCGTCCTCGTCTCGGAATAATGAGCAGGTACCCGAGCAGGTTGATGTTCCGACACAGGAGCCTGAGAAGGTTGATATGTTGGTTGCCTGGCTACGTGCAGTAATGGAGCAGCAAAACTCGGGGTATCCAAGAGGGTCCTCTGACACCTCCTTATTGATCTATTATATTGATCATGTCGCTCCACGTGTTTAGAATGGATAAGTATATATTTTACTACACTTTTCATTTAAATGATTTACGTAAAATTATCTTAACGACTCACAATGACTTTAATATTTTTTAAACATGAATGTCTGCCTATAAAGTCTGTGAACCATGTGCAAAAAATATTTTACCTATATCATCCTAATGAGGATTAGTTCAGGGAGGTCGTTCTTGGCTCCGGACTTGCCTGACTTTGTTGTTGCAGATACAATAATATTAGTTATGGCATGCAAGGGGCATTTGTTGTGAGATGGTTGCTGAAGCGGTAAAGCGGCAAGCAAAAGTAAGTATTTTTATAAGGTATATCATATCGTCTCCACAGAAATTAGTGCTACTGAATTACCGTTCGACAAGTCTCGCGTTTATGATTTTGGGTTAAAATAATTTTGAAGTAATTGTGGAAATTAAAAGTTATTAACAGGAAATAAATCCATTCTTCAGAGGAAAAACTTATCAGACATGCATATAAACCACTCCTCGCAAATTTAAGCCTATCGACCAATTATACTCAACCTACAATATTCATCAATGGCATCACGCATCGATCATACCCTAAGTCATTTCTAACCCAAAGTAGAGAGTTCGACTGTATCATCTCAGAGGCGATCTCTCAACCAACCTTGGCAACACATAAGACAATTGTGTTACTCGCATTGACGATCTCTCATCATAACATAACCAACACAAATACATTAAACACAGACACACAAGTGAATAATAATTCTAAATCTATCTCTAGAATCTAGACACTATTAGATAATCATCCTAGATAAGAATTCGAGCAGTATATGTCTAGAGTAGCCCAAACCTTAAACACTGAGTAAAAATCTAAGATAACCATCGACAAAGATTTATAAAGCAAATTTTATATAACGCAATGGGCGATAAATATACATGAGTTCAAAAGAAATACATGTACAAACTCAACAGATGGAGAATACATAAAGAAGAAGAGAAATGAACCATAAATCTCTTGGTTTGTCAGCATCGATCGATGAGAAATCCACTCAGGATCATCCATGTGCAAACTTCATAATTATTTTCTAAGCTAATCCTAATGAGAAACTCAGGTTGATGGATTTGGGAGAACAAAACCCCCCCCCCCCCCCCAAAACCATAACCCTAATAAATAAAATGAAAATGAAATATAAATAAAATAATGTTCAGACGCTATCGCCCGGAGAGCCACATGTTTCGCCCGGCGAGAGTCTTTATTACACTCACACAACCTATGTAATGTGTGATACGGTGGCAGAACCGACTGTTTTTACTGGTTTGCATTTTGCGTTTTTTGTTCGCAAAATGTCGCGGTAAGTAAAAGTCGCCACCGACTTTTATTTTATCTGATCAGGAAAGGAAAAAAGTACAGAAAAAATCCTTTTTCGAGATATTCTGAGTACGGGGGGTAGATTATAAAAAGGAAAGTGTTAGCACCCTTTCTATCCATGGTTTTCCATTGGCTCTTAGGTACTTGCTCATTTTTAAATTGCTTGTGTTTGTGTGCTTTATTTTGAAAATGTTTTACTTCGTGATAACCCTTGTATCAGTCCTCAAGAGTGTGACGAAGTTGTTTTGAAAATTTGTTTGAAAAGTGTAAGTGTGAAAAGTTTTAAGTAAAGCAAGTACCTATTAGCATCTACCTATTCGAAAAAAAGATTGTTTCTATTCTTGTTTCCTTTAGACAACGTTATCCCACTATTGAGAAATAGGTAGCACCGTCGTTGGAATTTGTAAGGGTCAATTCGAAAGGGACGTACGATCACTAAAGAAATATTAGGACACCTTAGTAATAACCCTAGAGTCTTAAGATCTTTTTGAGGCGACATTTTCGAGGCAACATTTTCGAGACAACGTTCGAATGGGACATTTTGATCTTTTTAGACTGGAGGGCAACCACTAAGACACCCTATGCTTAATGATCGTTTACCGAAGGCAACCGAAGTGAGAGTATACCCTAAGAGTGATATGTGCGAGTGATTTATTTTCAGTTATTTATCTTTGCACATTAGGGTTTTCTAACTGTATTAATTTGTCATGCATTCTTGCCATACAATTCTATTAGCATACATCTAGACAATTGAATATTTGCAGGAATTAAAAATGCGAGAAAATAAACCTACGCTATTACAAGGCTTCGGAGAGGGGGATTAATTACATAGCCAAAAAACCGGGGATTTAAACAGTAAATAAAAACCCTAAATTAAACTATTACAAACCATGAACAGTTACAAAATATTGGCAAAATAAATAATAAGCGCGCAGCAAATTAAATACGAGGCGATTAGGATTTTGACCCTTTGACTAATCCTATTTGTGATTGATTAAAGAAAATGTTTTTTTGTCATGTTTTTGTTATTTGAGAAAATAATGAAATAATTGAATAAAAAAATACCTAATTACTAATTAATTTTAATTAAGAAAAATAATTAAGTTAACCTATTTTTTGTATTTTTGTTTTATTTGAGAAAGGAAAAAAAAGAATTAAGTCAAGAACTTAACCTAATTTTCTATTTGATTTTAATTGTGAAAACAAGTTAAAATTTCCCTAAATTAAATAAAACTAAATTAAATTAAATTTGATAATAAAAAAAAAACTAATTCTAATTTTTTGTGAATTCTTGATTTTATAATTTTATGAGAAAAAAAATGATTAATGGTGTTAATTAAAATAATTAAATAAAATATTAAAAGAATTTAAAAAAAAGAAAGAAATAAAAAAGTGTAGAGATGGGCCTGTGTTGAATAGCAATTCTGGGGGTGCAAATCTGATTTTCTTGGCCCAAATAATCCCAGCCTGTTTGACCACGTTTGATTTGGTG